CCCGGTAAGCCGGGCCCTGCTCCTCCTCCCGGCGCCTGCCCCGCTCGGTCCAAAGCCCGGGGTCCCGCCTCCTCGGTCCCTTCCGTCCCAGCACCAGTGACTCAGGAGAGCGGGACCCAATCCTAAGGGGTGGAGGTCGAGCCTCTGCCCCGGACCTGGGCTCTGGGCGGCCCGCTCCTCAGAAAGCACCTCAGACACGTCCCGAGCTCCGCCCAGACCGCACTTTCCTGAGGCGGTGTTTGTCCCAGCCTGGTGACCTGTCCTGCTGTCACAAAATGTCCTGCGTCCGCGGCAGGGCGGGAACAACAGTGGGGACAGACCTGACGTGTGTAAGAGGAGGTTTGGACGCCGCCAAATGTTCTGAGACGTTACTTTCCTTCCCTTTCCACACTGTCCTCAATTTTGTCATCCTGTCTGTGCTCGGCTGTGTTTTCCGTTCAGTAGCATCGCGTTGTTTGCAGGTGACCACAGTTCATTTCCCACATATCTTATTGATGACCGTTTGGGCTGTTTTCAGCGTTTTTGCTGTTACGTATTATAACAGCTGCAGCTGCCCCAACAAAGTACCACTGACCGTGTGGCTTCGACGAAAGACGTTTATTTCCCGCAGTTGTGGAGGCTGAAGGCCGAGGTCAGGTGTTGCTGTCGCCGGGTTCTGCTGGGGATCCTCTCCCGCTCCTTGTGTGCAGGACAAACACAGGCAAACATGTTCTCTGGTGTCTCCTCTTATAAGGTCATTAACCCCATCAGGAGGGCCCCACCCTATGACCTCACCTGACCCTAGTCACCTCCCAAAGGCCGTCACCAAATACTATCACACTGGGGGTTAGGGATTCAACACATGCATTTTGTGAGGATACAGTGGTCTATAAACATGCAGTATTTTAATGCAATGGTTGTCAAACTTTTGAGTTCAAAACTCCTTTACACGTAAACAATTACTGAGATCCTCAAAGAGCTTTTGTTTTTGTGGGTTTCCATCTGTCAGCATGTTACTGGGCAAGGGCTCCCTTCAGAGTCCAATACTATGGCACCAGTTTTTGGGAAAAGAAAAAGGCTGTATTGAGAGGTCCACCAGCAAAGGGTACAGGAAGCCAAGCTCAAATCTGTCTCCCCCATCCGGGGGCTGTGCAGATTTTAAGAGGCAAAGAACTGGGCAAAAGTTGATTGGCTGCTGGATGCTGGGTTCTTCTTGTTGAAGGCTATGGTGGTTCAAATTCCAGCTTTTTAGTTCCAAAGAGGGAAGATTTTCGATTCCCGTGGTGCTCCAGGTCATCTGGAGGGTAAGGTCCTTATCTCTGTGCTTGCTCAGCTAACATCCTGAGAAACAGCTTGTCAAGTGACTTGAGATGGGGACCTAGAGCCAGTGTCAGCTATTAAAAATTAAAATAGAAATTTAACAATGTGTATAATTTATTTTAAAATAACAGTAATAGGCATAAGTAACACATTTTAAAAAATAAAAATAACAAAATTTTCCGAAACAAAAATAGTTAGAAGGGTGGCATTGTTTTATATTTTTGTAAATCTCTTTAATGTCTGCTTTTGTAGAAGATAGACTCATATCTGCTTCTGTGTTCAATCTGTTGCTGTATATGAAGTATATGTAGTTGGGAAAGGGAGGAGTATTTTAATAACCTTTTTAGATAACTTGAGGGTATTCTTGCTTGGAATCCAAAACACATCAATGAACTTTAAAAAATATGCCATATTAAAATCCATTGGTCTGTTTATCTTGAACTTTGATCTTCTACCCATTCTTTGATGTATTACCTTAGTGTTTTTAATTTTTATTTTAAATTGTAAAATACACATAAAATTTACGATTTAACCATTTAAAAAAATTAATAAACTATTTTTTAGAGCAGATTTGGGTTCACAGCAAAATTGAGTGGAAAATAGAGTTCCCATGTAACACTCTGTCTCCACCTATGTACAGCCTCCCCCACTATCCACGTCTGGCAGCCCAGTGTACATTGGTTGTAATTGATGAACCTGCACTGACACATCATTATTATCCAAAGTCCACACTTTACGTTAGGATTCACTCTTGGTGTTGTGTATTCTGTGGTTTTGACAGATGTGTAATGGATGACACGTATCTGCTGTTGTAGTATCACACGGAATAGTTTCACTGTCCTAAAACTCCTCTGTGCTCCGCCTGTTCATCTCTCTCTCTCTCCACTTGCCCCTGGCACCCACTAATCTTTTTACTGTCTTCATAGTTTAGCCTTTTCCAGAATATCGTATAGTTGGAAACGTACAGTATGTAGCCTTTTAGACTGGCTTCTTTCACTCAGTGACATGCACTTACAGCAACGTGAATGAGATTGAAAGACATTATGTTAAGTCGGATAAGTCAGGCACAGGAGGATAAATACTGCTTGTTCTCACTCATATATGGGAACTAAAATAAAAAAAAGTTGAGCTTATACAAGTAGAGAGTAGAATTGTGGTTAATAGAGGCTGGGAGGGGAAAGGGAGTCAAGAGGTTGGTTAACAGAAAATCACAGCTAGATAGGGAAAGTAAGTTCTAATGGGCTGGCAGGGCTAGGAATCTGTAATAGTAATTTATTGTATGTGCTCAGTTGGCTACAACAGAGGAGGTCAAATGATTTCATTACAAAGAAGTGGTAAGTTTTTGTGATGATTAATATGCTAATTACCCTGATTTGATCATCACACAATTGTATACATGTATTGAAATATAGCTTTGTGCCCCATAACTACATATAATCGATACATGCCAATTAAAGAAAATAAATAAATAAAATAATTTTAAAAGTATATGTGGGGCCGGCCCGGTGGCGCACTGCTGCAGTGCTCCACTTGGGAAGCGCGGCGGCGCTCCCGCCTGAGGGTTCGGATCCCACATGCAGACCGGTTCCCGCTCACTGGCTGAGCGAGGCGCGGGAGCAACGCCGAGGGTTGCAATCCGTTGCCGGACACGGAAAAAAAAAAAAAAAAAAAAAAAAAAAGTATATGTGAATAAGCACTTTTTTATCACAGGGAAATTTAATATCCCATTTCTTTTTGAAATCATATTAGCGTCATAGTTGGAGAGAGGAAATAAGCAAACCTGTACAATTACTAGTTTTCCTCCTAGGTATATACCTAAGAGTAATGAAAATATACGTGCACATAAAAACGTGTATGCTAATGTTCATATGGCATTACTCACAGTAGTCAAAAGTTGAAAACAACTCAAATGTCCATCAACTGATGGATGTATTACGTACATGGTTACACACATACATGGAATAGTATTCAGCCATGAAAAGGAATGAAGTTCTGGCGCGTGCTACAACATGGATGAACCTTGAAAACATGCAAGTGAGTGAAGCCGGGCACAAAAGGTCATATTTTGCACGATTCCATTTATACAGAATATCCAGAGTAGGTAAATCCATAGAGACAGAAAGTAGATTAGTGACTGCCATCGGCTGGGGGAAGAGGGAATGGGAAGTGATTGCTTACTCTGAAAAACGCCATCCCAAATTGCTAAGTAAGATTCCGCAACCGACTGGACCATCACTCTACTTAGCAGTGTGGGGCTGGAATTTTCATTTGAAAGTTTAAATTTCTCTCTTCTGAATAATAATAAAAAAAGACATCCAGAATTTCTTGCACTTGTAGTTATATATTTAATTTATAATTTGACAATATAATCAACAGTAATTTTAGTGTCTGCTCATTTATATTCATAATCATCCAGACTATATACTTCTTTTCATGTACAGAGCAACTTGGCATCTTTTTTAAGTTTTATTTTATTTTTAATTGACACATAATAACTGTACATATTTATAGGGTCTAGTATGATGTTTTGATGTATGTATACATTGTGTAATGATGAAATCATATTCATCATCTCAAACATTTATCAATTCTTTGTGGTGAGAACATTTAAGTTCTTATAGCTTTTTTGAAATATACACTATATTGTTAACTATAGTCACCCCACCATGCAACAGAACACCAGAACTTCTTCTTCCTGTCTAACTGTGACTTGGTGCCCATTGTTCAACT